TGGTGGTGGTGGTATGTTGTGAAATTCATTTTGACCTAGGCCAGCCCCTTCCAAGGTTTTCTAGGCAGAAAATACTCAGAAATGGTTTACTATTCCCTTCTTTTGAGGGTACTCAAAAGAAGGCAAGCCTACACAGGCTGCCTCCTCTCCTGGAAGACACCGTGAGGAATCAAACTTCCAACATCTACCTAAGTCATGGAGGTATGCATTAGGGGCAAAATAAGTTGTACAATTCCCATTTGAAGGAGAAGCCAGTCAAAGCCCCAAGAACTATCAACAGTGTTAGCAAAGAGCTCAGGCATGGGAAAAATACTAGGTTGTCTACAGACTGAGGTGGTTGGTCCATTGTAATCCATGGGCTGAGATGCTCAGTCTTTTAGAATCTTGGTAAGGAAAATGTATTCCAATCACATCCAAAAGCTGAGGATGAGTACTAGTTTGATATTGTTACCATGACATTGCAAGTGGGACTATCTTAATAATTACCAGCCATCTGATTGCCATAACATGAGCTCTCCTCAGCAGCACATTTCATAAATTAGCCCACTTTTGTTTTATGACTAGATGGTCAGCAAAAGTTGCATGAGCATATCTGACTGCTCACACATGCAATTTTGAAGGAACTGTAAGTGTGGAGAAAAGATCATTGTGATACTAGAAATATGCCCCTGATTGGATCTTTACTCAACAAAACATTTCAACATTTATTCAATAATGCATGCATAAAACAAAACTAAGATCATATACATTCTTGTATTTACAATAATCATATATGGATGTGAAGTTAAGAAAGCTGACAGGAAAAAAAATGATTTGTTTGAAGTGTGGTGCTAGAAGAGAGCTTTGTGGATACCCTGTATTGCCAGAGAGACAAACAAGTTGGCTTTAGAGCAAATCAAGTTTGAACTATCTCTGGAGGCCAAAATGCTAAATCTGAGGCTGTCATGGGCACATCATGAAAAGTCAGGATTCTCTGAAAAAGACAATAATGCTGGGAAAGGCAGAAGGCAGCTGGCAAAAAGGAAGACCAAATCTGAGACAGATTGACTTCCTAAAGATTTGCAAGATCTGAGCAGGGCTGTTGAAGACAGTAGATCACTCATTCATAGGGTTACCATAAGTCAGAGATGACTTGAGGGCACATAACAACACAACCTATGATACCTGTAAAGGCTCCAAGTGTGCCTCTCCACCAGGCCCCACCCCTGCATGCTATAGATGAAAGGGATCCCTGATGTTAACCAATGATCACAGATAACTAGGCAGATTCCCTAGGCTGTACTACTACCAAGAGCAAAGGCATTTGCAAAGGACATGTGAGAATGCTTTGTTTCTCTTGCTCATGTGGAGAAGGTGAAGAAGGCAAAATGGCAGAGTTCCTTGCTTAGTTGCCAAGTGGAAAATTTCACCTAGCACTTCACCCTGGACCTAATGCTGTGTCTAGTGGCAGGTTGGTTGAGGGAAATCTAGCCCCAAGCAGCATATGGTTACTCACCCTTACTGAAAAGGGTGAGGAGGGGTTTGTGAGTAGGAAGAATGGAGGTCTTTCTGCCTTTTCTCTTTTGTTGTGGCCGATTACACTAAGTGCTCTCATCCCTACTCATTTTACTTCCAGTGTCAAAGATGGACTGGGGGATACCAGTGGTCAAGACCTATGAATATATGGGTGAGTTCAGCTCACCTCACCCATAGGTCGCTTTTTATGTTTCTTTGTGGAGAGCAGATGGATGATAAATGTAGCTGCCATTGCTGCATCCATTTTGGCCCTCATTGTCAAAAACTTGAACTTAAATATGTGAATATTTTTGTGTTGTTTCTCATGTATTAGAGGACAATAATTTATGGTCCCTACAGTCTATGGTGTTTTAACAATGAGTATTTCTTTCTGTGATACATCACTCAGCAATTACATGGTCTCTAAAAGAACACAGAACTGATCTGCAATTAACACATTTCTCCTTATATACAGAATAAAGAGTATATGATAAAGTTCCAATCCAAACAATGACAAGTCATTACCAGAATGCGCTTTGCTGCTTTAAAAACTACCTGTTCTACACCTGAACAGCAAATATTGATCTGCTGTGTATTTGTTATAACTTGGGCTAAAACAATAGATGTTCTACACTTTGCTATCAATGCACAGGTGTGAATTTCAAGAATGTCCCAACCCTAGAGAGACAAATAACTGGTTGTTTTTGGTGGGGGGTGGAACTATTTAATCCCTAGAATGTGGGCTTTACTTTTTTCTGTGGACACTGAGACAGACAATTTTCTCATACCATTTTTATGTATGATGATGAAATATCTTTTTGCATTTAACACATTTCAGTTTTGAACATAAAAACACATTGCCAAGAATATATATGCACTCTCAAAGTCTCTCTCTCTCTCTCTTGCTACACTTTATACCATACAAAGGAGGTGCTGGTTACAGTTTAAATTCCATTTTCTAAAAAGTTGCATAACTTCCTTTGCTGCAGTCATTTTCATTAAAGACAAGAAGATACGTATTAGAAAATGTAACAATGCAGATACATTGTTGTATACAGAAAATACAACAATCCCATCTGTCTGCATTCAAATTTTAATTTCCCTGTCAGTTCATGCTCGGAAAATCACAACTTTGTTCTACATGGTAAACACAGTGAGCCTTTTTATCCTTCTGGATCATTTATATGTTTGTTTGTTTCTTTGTTCAAACTTATTCCCCGCCCATTTAGTGGACAAGCCAAAAACTTCCAAAAACTAACAAGAATATATGAAATAGAATTTTAAAAATGAACATATTAAAAAAACCCACCATAAAACCTCCAGTCTAGCAGATAATCCAAGACTCAGAATGGCAAACCATTGGCTGGCATAAACTTACTACAAAATTACTATTACAAAGGGGTGACGCTTGTAAAGGCCTGGGTAAAAAAGCCAGGTTTTAACTTGTTTTCAAAAACTCAGGAGGGTGGGGACAAATCACACCTCCACAGGAAGAGAGTCCCAGGGGAGGGGGGGACAGTACCACTACTAATTTAGTTATTTATAAGTACAATAGCCAGACACAGTATTCTCATGGAAGAGCTAATTCATCATGTGTGTTATGTTTTTATTTTCCTCTAGAGATGTTTCTAATGTGGCTTTTATTAAGCAATCTTTCATCCCATTCAAATAATTTAATGGGGGGGGGGTAGCAGTAGCCAGAAACCATGGTCTTTCATTCAGCCTCTTGTATTTCCCACAACTTTTTCCATCCGTAAAGGGGAAAGACACTATCCTTGGA